TGTCACATTGTTAGACAATGACGTGGCTATTTTGTACCGACACACGGTAAAAAAGGGACAAGTGCCTGATCTTTTATTTTTACCTATCTAAGTGATTAACCTTTGATTATTTCTTTTCTTATCTGAGAGCATTTTATTAGTTGAAACTATTTAAATACTGAATTGGGTGTAAAAATCTCGCTCAAATTACTGAGAAAAACAAAACGACTAATAATTATATAAAAGAAATGGGTGTCAAAAAAAAATGAATGAGAAATCTTTATTTTATTTTCAAAAATGATGTTAATATTACATCACCTCAACATCCAAATAGGTTCCCGAAGGTTTCCTTCTCCAAGGATATTTTTCAGCGCACATCTAGTTCTGTTACAAGAGCTCAAAAATGAAATCATTTTTTTCAGGCAAGTTTTCACGATATTCCCAAACTTCTTATGAGGCTATGTTTGTTTTTTTTTTTAAAATAAATGTAGAATTTTTTTTAAAAAAATTTTGTATTTATTTATTATTAAAAAAATTAATCAGTAAAAAAATAATTTTCAGTAAAAAAATTTTAGCTTAGTTTCCAGAAAAATATTTTCCTAAACAATTTGTGGGAAAAACACTTTTAGAAAGTTGTTAAAAATTTAAAAATATCATATGATTTATTGATTATATCAAATTTGATTCTCAAATTTTTTATTGTTATATATATTTTGTTTTGAATATTTATTTTTTAATTTTATCTCTTAAAATTTAATTTTTATATTAACTTTGGTCCTCTTTTTATAATTTTTATTTGCTTTTTCCTTATCATTTTTTTATTAAATGTTTTTATCTATCAAATTTGGTCCTCATTTTTTTTATTGTTACTTATTTTATTTGAAATAATTTATGAAATATTAATTATTATTATTTTAATTTATTCATCTTTTATTTTTTTATTTTTTAGATTTTATCTCTATTATTTTGATTATTATTTATTTTATTTGAGATAATTTATGAAATTATATTTTTTTTTCAATTTCATTCTCATTCAACCTTTTAATTTGTAAGATTTATTCTTTGTTATTTTAATAAACTTGAGAAAAATAAAATATTAATATGTTATTTTTCAGCTCATTTTTCATAAAATAATCAAATATTAAAAAGTATTTTCCAACTTATTTTTCATGATACTATCAAAAATCATTAAATAATCTATTTTTTTAAAAAAAATTACTTTTCAGTAAGTAAATAAGCAGGATATTAGTCACTTAAATAGGTAAAATTTAAAATTAAACACTCAAACAAAATAATAATAACAAAAGGCTGTGCACTAATTAAAACTGTAGTTGTTAGATAATACAATCAAAATGATAGTTAGAAGAGAAGTGCTAGAGTTTAGTCCTACCATAATTACTCCCATAATTAGAGCTAAATCAAGATTTTTTATTTTTATTTTTTAATGTTCTTAACACACACATATATTTTATATATTTTTTATACAAAGAAGATGTCTAAATATATGATAATAGTTATTTTTTAAAATATTTTTTATTAAAAAATATTTTTTTAAAAAAAATTATTTTAATATCAACACATTAAAATAATATTAAAAATATAAAATATAAAACGGTGCAAGACACACTCTATAAAACACTTGGATCGAGGGTGAAACACAAGTCTTTTACTGTTCATGAAGAGTGAAGGAGGTGATTTTTTATTTCCGATTCCTTGGTTAATTATCCGCACTGGTAAACTTAAAGTAATATGTACATGTCAAAATCAGCATATTAATTACAAATTATATATAAATGGTAGTTTTCAAGTAGATCCATATACTAAATGACATGAAAAACCATTTGTTATTGTTAAAATCCTTTTCTTTGAATTAAAAGTGTAAGGAAAGCATTGAAAAACCGAAGAAGAAGGTTTCAATTGGGTACATATTGTAAGCTCATGTTGTTTTCACTTCAATACATATTATTGCTATATCATAAATAAAATACATATTTTTGCTAGCTAGCTCATTAATTATACTTTTTCCCTATTACATAAATTATATATTCAATATATACTAAATGAGAGAACGATTAGTATATTAATTAGCATTTATTATTGGTAAATCATTTTTTTACTTGATCAAACACTTGTTACATAACTATAATGGAGGGGGCTAATTTATATAATCTTTAAAATATAAATGTCAAAAATTCATAAAACTATAGGGACTAGATTAAATTAAATTAGAAGATGTGCTTCTCTTTGGTTTGCGCTGCTTCTCTTTTTAGTCCCGTATAAAAAATAAAAAATAAAAAGATTATTCATATTAAAATTAGAAGATTCATGAGAATTCTATTGAAGATTTTATTTCTTACAACCTGATGATATAAAATTTATTACGTATGAGAACTCGCATGACATTCATTCCCCATTAATTACCATCACGTGCATGCATTGCTAACATGTCTATGGAAGATGCATGTACTGGGCGAGTCGCCATTCCCTTGCAAGAACAGTTGCAAGGAAATACCTGCAACTTTGAAGTTTGTCATCCTTCAGGGATAGAACATTATCTCAAAACCCAATGCAAGGGAGAAGATCTATATATCTCTCTGTGGGTTTATTTCTCGGCCAAAATATCTTCCATCAAAGTATGTTTGTTATATACAAAGGCATCCAAGCGACCAAACTGTGATTGTTTGCTATTCACGGATCATGACAGTGCCGCGACGTGTATATATACATACATGCAATGGATCATATCCACCAATTTTAAGCAAAATCATGTGTTTTCCTTTTCGTTTTGTGATTTCGTTATATAGAACGTTAATGACACCATCACTTTCTGCTAATCATCTTCATTTCCGATTGTCAGTATGATTTGATAGAATTCCATATCTATTTAGCATCTGCATATATCTTTATATATCATCTTTGATTGCGTGCAAAGTTCTCAAATTATGCAGAAAGGCTTTTCCTTAGTTCCTATAATCTCTCTCTCATTAGTTTCATGCATCAAGCATATTTATTGCTTTTTGTTCGTGACAGATAATTCAGAGATGCAGGGGAGCATTGATCATATATATGGATTCGAAGTCTTAAAGTATATGATAATTTCAATTTGCCAAGCACATAAACATAGCAGAAGGATATATGCCTCCAGTCATAATTAATTAAGTGTTGAATCAATTGCTCAGTGTCATCAAGAATAAAATAGATGAAAGACACAAGAATTTTCGTAAACTTTTTTTTTGTTTTGATTGAGAATCTTTTATATATAACTTAATTTTAATTTTACGTCTTCATATATGGTATAATTTTCATTTAATTTAAAAACTATATGATATATAGAATATTTCAAAGATATTTTTTTAAAACTCTCAGGGAGATGTATGAAGCCCCCTAACCACTCGATAAAGGTACCAGCTAGACATTGTCTCTTTGCATCTGATTTGTTATACTATTGCTTCATTTGCTTAAAAATTCCTTAAAGGGACGCTCATTTTCTACCCATGCTAGTGAAAGGATTGCCAAAAAGCTCGCATGCGTGTGGAAAACATCACACAGCACTGAGCAACTCTTTTAAAAAACTACTTCTTTATCTCCACGATACATAACTTTTATCTAAATTAGGTCGCGATCATTTCCAGGCCACCCTTTTTTTTTTTTTTCGTTTGATAAAAGTCATCAACAGCATTCATCGTCGAAGAGAATTAATTACTGGCGGAGATTACAAATTAGAAAACAGCACTAATTGCCCATTCTAGAACACCTTTCCATGGACACGATGCTGGGAACTAACTGATGGGCTGTCACAGTAACGTACAGGACAGGCGAAAGCCATAATTGAGGACGCTAAAGCTGTAGAAATTAACTGGTAAAAAAACCAGCGAAATACCTCTCATACAACTATTGCTGCAATACGAAAAGGAGGCAATCTTGAGAAGTTCACATAATCTCCCAAATTGACATGAAATCCGTTCATGTTATAACTTCTTCTTCTTCTTCTTCTTCTTTTCCCAGGGGCAAGTCTGGATTAGACAACAACGGTAGTTCTCTTCCATTCCTAAGTCCTTTCCCGTCCCTCCGTAAATCTTTTGCATTTTATGCTAAAATAAATAGTCCCACTAACATAGATGTATTCACTTCAGGAGAGTTTTGCATCGAATCACCACGACACAAGGAAGTAGCACGTATTGGCTTCTACCAGCGAATTACCCCATTAGCCAAATCTTATCGTGCATGTTTTAATTTGATGTCACGGTTGGAAGTAGGGAGAAATAGGTCGATGTTGCACAGAACTGATAGTCAAGTAGAGTTTTAACCAGCTCGATCCATGGGACTCCAGTGGTCAAACACTAAAGTACAAAGAGTTTAAGCGGCCCTACTAGATCCTAGCTAGCCGATCTTCCACTACTGTAAAAAAATGGAATCTGGTGAGAACCCACTTAATTCGACTCCAAATGCGAGGAATGAGGTCGTGTATTTGCTTATGATCTCATGGACAAAGAAGAGGCCACTCATTATAGCTAGCTATAGCTGTGATAGAAAGTTTGTGGTGTGGTGTACAGTTTAAACACTTCCAACAAAAGAGAGCTAAAGCTCTAATCATGCTTAATCTGTACCTTTATGTTATGCTAATTTCCCTTTTATACTCTAGTCTTGTGTTTTCACACTACTATATCATGCTTTATTTCCAATTCACCAATCAAAATTGACTCCCATGCGCCACTGAACATTAGTCGGCTTTCAGTTTCCAGTTGGGTGGTGATGACCTCAATAAGGAGGTTCTGTTGCAGTCTAGTTTACACACCAGCAAAATCATCACCGTGGGGTCCAAAGTGAAAGGAGTGGTGTTCCTTGTAATATCTGGGACATCTCGAGGGCATCTTTATAACCATATTCTATGTATATATAAACACACACAACGCCAGTTATAACCCCAGCACCATTCATGCAAAGAAATTAAAGCATTGCCAAGAAGCAAGATCTCTTCTTTCTTTTCACTAAACAATCAATAGTAGCTAGAGAAATATATCATGGGGAATTGCCTGGTTCTGCAAGCAAATGTTATCAAGGTCATGAAACCAGATGGGAAGATCCTTGAATACCAAGCACCCATAAAAGTCCAGCAAGTTCTGTCAGATTTCTCTGGTCATGCAATAGCTGATTCGCTTCAGGCTTTCCAGCATCTTCCGCCAGACACCAACCTACTTGGTGGAGACCACTTGTACTATCTTGTGCCTCTCCAACTGCCATCCCCACAGGCTAAGAAGAAGAAAGTAAGATTTTCAATTCCAGAGGAGGAGGCCAAAGATGTGCAAGAAAAAACCAGTACTGTGGTGAGAATCAACCTGGTGATCAGTAAGCAAGAACTGCAGGAGATGCTAAGAAAGGGAGGAGTTTCAGTTGATGATATGGTTTCTCATCTTCAGGGTCAACAGAGAGTGCAAAAGGTGGATATCTCCGGTAGTGATGGTGAACATAAAGGTTGGAAGCCTGAGCTAGAAAGCATCCCTGAAAGAAGCCTCTAGCAGTCTTCAATAAAAATGTAAAACCGCTCCCATAATTCTAGTTCTAGCATAGGAATAGATACAGTGTATTAGCCCTGCAGAAAGATATCGAAAAGAGTACAATATTTAGCTTGTTTCCTAATCAGAAATACTTAGTGCTTAATTGTGTGTTTTAAGAAATTAACCTGATCAGGCTATGCATACATCACCCAAAATTATCATCCCACGCAATTAACTCGAATTAGCCTTATAATTGTCGTCTTGCTAAAAGGCATATATACCTACTCTTTTCATTTTTCTTAACCAGTAAATTAAATAGCATATATATCAAAATTGGGTGTCATTCAACAGTACGAAACCATACTCTACGATAGTTAGTTGAGGCTTTTGGGTTTTTTTTTTTAATTTTAGTTTTAATATGGTTTCAAAGTTTCTTTGACCAAACAGTCGTCTTCAAGAAACGTAAAGATGTGTTAGAAAATAACTAGTATAATCCTTGTGCATTGACGTGGGTAAGTCCATAAAACCTGTTTAATTAATTTAATTAATTTACATAAATAAAATTAAAATGAAGCTATATTGATGGTAGAAGTTTATAATATGTATTTTATAGTGATTAACACAGGCAGGTATCTTATATTTGAGTTAAAATATATATATCATATGAATACATGTTTGAAATTGATCGACAAAAAAACACTCAATTATTTATTGATTTTTTTTAAAAAAAATCTAATTAAAAGAGTCGGTAATAAAAAAAATATATGTATGAAAAATAACACTGAAAATTAATGTGCGTAATCAATCTATATAGAAGGATGTTTAATTTTAGTCAATGAGTTATTAGAAAATTCACAAAATAATCATTAATTATTGAAAAAATATCTTAAGAAAACAATAAATAATAGAAAAATAAAAGCATAAAAAAGGAAGCGTGGTTGGGCTGAGTGCGGCCTAGACATTAGGAACACGAAGGGGAGACTCGAGTCGCTGCCACCTCCACTTTCCAGCGACTGCGTTGGCGGAAAAATCAAGAGGCCACTAGTTTTGGCCCCTTAAATCTAATTTATACATTATTTTTATCTTCAAATACCTTAGAATAATCCCAACAACATTTAAAAATTATTTTTAAACATTAAAACATGTTTCAATCAATTCTAAAATGACGACACTCTCTCTATCTGATTATCTCTTCTCCCTCTACATACAAGGGCATTATATTAGGGCCATTCCTTACAATTCTCGAAATACCAAGAACTAAAGCAAATTAAAATTTATATTAAAAAAATCATTTAATTATTTCTTTTAGGCAAATCAATGTTGTTGTAAACAGAAATGAGCGTTTTTATCATAGTGACCCAACGGTGACCCTTTTTTTTACAAAACATTTTTCAAGAATCCCAAAAAAAAGGTGAAAAACAAAAAAAAATTCCTTAAAAATGTGTTTATTTTGCAATTTTCAAATTATTTTTTTGACATCTTTTTAAAAATAAATTCAAATAAATATATTTTCAATACATTCGCGTCCATTTCATATTTTTTATTACTTTTTTTATCAAATTAATGTTAATATTATTTTTCACAAAAAGATAAAAAAATAAAAATAGAGAGAAAAGTAGATAAACAAACTAAAATGTAAGACAAGAGAAATGAGGGATTAAAATAAAATGAAGTTGTTTGGGGTGAGGTAATTAAAAAGAAATTGACAAAGTCAAGTGGACTCTTCTGTAAAGCAAAAAAATATCAGGGTCAGAATAAAATTGAGTTACTTAAAAACTGAAAAAAAGATAACAAAATTCTTTGGTTATAAATAATGGAGAGGTCAAAGAGAAAAAGGTTTGGGAGAATTTAGAGAGAAAAAAAACCTAGCCATCACAATTTATCTCTCCAACAAAAAAAAAAACTTTAACTTCATCTTTTCCATTGAAAACCCTAGCCATCACAATTTATCTCTCCAACAAAAAAAAAAACTTTAACTTCATCTTTTCCATTGAAAACCCTAGCCATCACAATTTATCTCTCCAACAAAAAAAAAAACTTTAACTTCATCTCTTCCACTAAAAACCCTAGCCACAATAAAATTTTGAGAGAAATTAAGCTAAAATTCAAGAAAAAAAAATACATAAAAATGTAAGAGTTTAAAAAATATGTGACTTCCATCATTTTCTCCTAAAATAAAATCACAAACCCAACATCAAAATATCATCATAGGGAAAATAGCTCTTTAATAGAATTTATCCTTAAAAGTTTATCCAAAAATAATAATAAAAATTTAAAAATATATATTTCCAATATTGAATTTTAGTCATAATTTTATTATTCATGGATCAACATAGGATAAATAACCTTTCAATGGGATTTATCCATAAAAGTTGGTCCAAAAATGATAATAGATTTATTTAAAAAAAGATATGTTTTCTTGATATTGAATTTTTGTCATAATTTTATTATTCATGTATTAGGATAAATAACTCCTTAATAAGATTTATCCTTAAAAGTTTATCTAAAAATGATAAAAAAAATATCATTTAAAAAAATATTTTATCAATGCATAAATTTTGGTTGTGATTTTGTTATTCATGAATTAGCATCTTAAAAGTTGATCTAAAAGCAATAATAAAGACATTTAAAAAAAATATTTTCAATACATGAGTTTTAATTGTAATTTTATTATCAATGAACCAACTATTTAATGAGATTTATCCTTAAAAATTTATCTAAAAGTAATAATAAAGCCATTTAAAAAAATACATTTTCAGTACATAAGTTTTGGTTATAATTTTATTAATCATGAATCATCATAGGATAAATAACTTTTTAATAAGATTTATCCTTAGAAGTTGATGTAAAAGTGATAATAACATCATTCATGTTAAAATATTTTTCAATGCATATTAAACACCTTTTTTCATTAAAAATAAGTAATAATACATATCTTAGGAATGATAGATGGGGTGATATATGTCTTTGCTAGCACATAATCAACCTCTTCTCTTCATCATTATCATATGTTGGTTATTTTATTTTTAAATTTTAATTTACTCTTATTTTTTTCATTTTCATTTTGTTACTTTTTTATGAAATTAATTTTATTTCTATTATTTTTTCATATATGGTACTTTAAATCTAATTACATAGTCAGTTTAAAAAATTAACATAGGTCAGTTTTTTTTTGCTAATTTTATTTTCTGATTTCATCGTTTAAAATTATTTTTTTTAATTAGTTTTGTGATTTTTTTTTGATTTTTTTATATTGGGTTATCCTAATATCATAATCTAAGCCACAAGTTTTACAAGGGTTGTCTTGTTTTTTTATTATCCAAGTTACATGTTTATCACGCTACTTAGATTAATTCTAGCCATTTTTTGTTTTTTTTATCCAATTCCATACTTTCAAAAGTTTTTTTTTCTAATCATCATGATTATTTAAAAAAATATTAAATTTATTATTTTTTTTATTATTTCATTAAAATAAAATCAACTTATTAAACTAAATCAAGGCATGACATGATTCATTTGTTTTTCTATTTTTTTGTAACGTGCTTACAATACTTGGACTATTGTTGTTGGTTTTTTTTTTTTTATCTTAGTTTTTATTCTAATTAATACCTTTTTAATATATTTTTTAAAAATAATTTTTATTTTATGTTTCATTTAATATTTTTCCTTTATGATTTTTTTTATTTTGCATATTTAGTCTTTTTTAATAGAGTTCTTTTAAATTATTTTATATTTATTTAATTTTTAAGTATATTATTCTTATTCATCTATAAGATTTTTTATGTTTTATATAGATTAAATTTCTTTTTCAAAATAAAAAAATATTTATTTTTAGATAATATTTTTAATATTAGTAGTTTTATATAATATTTCTTGTTATTTTACTTAATCAACTCTGTGCATCAATTTTTTATATAAAAAACAAGTAAAAAAAGTCTGCATGCCTTTTTATTTTTTTATTGGGAAAAAAATATAGATGATGGGTCAGTGTTTCTTATAGGTCATCAATACTCGAACTTGTACTTGCGTTTGTCTTGCTTGTTTTATAAATCACTCGGGAATGTTTTGTTTATTTAAACTACAAATTGAATATACTTGCGTTTGTCTTGCTTGTTTTATAAGCCACTCGGGAATGTCTTGTTTATTTAAACTACAAATTGATTAATTAATATTAAAAAAATGCTGAAACTTTATAATTTTGCTACCTCTATCTTTCTTACTTGATTTTATTATTAACTCAAAATACATAGAGAGTATATTTAATTATTTATTAACTTTTTTCGATCATTGAGAGTTAGCATGAGCATGGTTTTGCGAAAGTCGTGTTAATTATATTTTATTCTTTTGGGAATTAATCAGTAATTAAATAATTTGTTTGACTATTTCATTTTACAATTTTGGCAGAAACTTGATTTATAAAATTTGATTTCAAAAACATAAATATTTTGTAACTAATTTGCTATGCGTTTAAATTATTTGATTATAAGAATTTTCAATAATAAATATTAAATCTACATTTATTAGAAAATGTTCTTCGTCTCTAAAATCTGAACGCACCACACCTCCTCCTAATCATTCTATCAAGCTACTCAGTTGAAGGAGGAGCATTTATTTTGAGGGTAATGAAATGGCAAATTTCCCGATGCTGTCCTTTTTCTGGGTCAAATGATGCAACCTGTCCAAATTTACAGAAGACTGATACAGATGAAACCTGGTTTTTGCAGAGTATCTCGGCTTCAAACCTTGCCCAGAAAAATCCACTCAGTAGCTTTTAAATCTAACCACTTTTTAGCACATGAATATATTCTCGAACCAGAACACCCCCATTTCTCTCGAAATGCACTTCAAGTGTTCGATACAATTCCTGACCTGGATGTTGTATCAGCAACAACCATGATTGGTCAGTTTGCTAGGCTGCATCAATACAGAGAAGCAATACAACTCTTCTCTAGAATGCCTTTTTTTAATGTTACGCCCAATGAGTTTACATTTGGCACTGTTATTCACTCCTCAACCTCACT